AAAAAAAAAAAAAAAAAAAAAACAAAAAAAAAAAAAAAAAAAAAAAAACATGACACGGTCCGACGTACCTTTTTTCGCTCTGCGACAAAAAGACAGGTTTTCATTTATGAACAAGGCCTCTCCTGCGGAAAAATAAATAAAAGTATGTCGCAGCGAGTTTGTCCTGGAAATCGACTTGATTTCGGATTGCAATTTCCCCGCGTTTTGGCTTCAGGTCGTCGACGGGGTTGTGCAGAGTATCAAACTCATCACGGAAAACGCTTCCAGGAGGGTGGCCAAATTTGCATTCGAATACGCTGTTGCCAATGGACGCCAGACAGTCACAGCTGTGCATAAAGCCAATATCATGTGAGTTTCGTTCGTTGTAAACACGCAAGGACAATTTTGCATGAAATCTAGTTATTTCGAGTCTTCTCTTGAAAAATGACGTTGCGCTTGTTGAGTTGGGAAAAAAATAAGTGGAACATATCCTAGATGAGGTTTGTTGACTTCCTGGTCGGGTTAATCAGCGGAATGCGTCAATTTTCTGATACGAAAACGAAGTAAACTTGGACAATTTTAGGAGATGAGGTCAAGACCACGTTCACTTGAAGCGATTCAACCCTTCGTACGGGAATGACCCATTTTCTGAATTTAATTAAGTAAAACTGGAAATGTGGAGCTTTTTTTTTTGGTAATTGCTGAAAACTTCACCTCAAAATTCTATTCACACTGTAGTCACGTTGAACTACTGTAAAACCGCGTTAGGCAATTATGAAATATTGAATAAATCATGCAATACAGTATTTCTTTGTTTTGTTCCCCAAAAACTATTCTCTTTGATATCAGTCTTCCTATTTAAAACTTTTTGTATCATTAAATTCTTGTGTAAATTGGAATCCGATGTAAACTGGGGTTGCACAAGAAGAATGAACAAACGAAAATAATCAGGATTTTCAGTTGTTCTTAGAATTTTAGTGATTAATTTTTAGAATGTGGCTTTCAAAAATTTTGAGACAATCGCTGCTGAATTTTAGCTTAGAGGGGATTTACTAATTCAATTTCGAAGCAGACAGTTTCCTCTTTTCGTACGATTTCCTTAGACGGGTGTTCAAGAAGAGTAGTTCAACAATGAACAGTCTGATTGAAAACGGGATCGTACTTCCGTAGAAATGCCGTATTATATAAATTTCATTGTGTGACATCCGGTAATCGAAGACGCGTATCCCCGGAAAAAGGCGTCACGCTGACACCCCTAGTTTGATCAAGCGTGAGGATTTAAAGTGAAAAAGCACACTCTCACACATCCAGAAAGGTTCTCTTTGAAAGGCTGGAAAAGAGGAAGAGGAAAGAAAGGGGGAATGGGGAGGTGTGTGAAGAAAAGGAAGCGGAAAATAAAAAGGAGGGGAAAAGGACTGGTTCGAAAAGCTTTGATTCAATTATTTGTCGTCACGTTGCTCAGGCGGATGTCAGACGGTCTGTTCCTGAAGTGCTGTCGGGAGGCGGCGGAGGACTTCCCGAATGTCAAGTTCCAGGAGCGCTACTTGGACACTGTTTGTCTGAACATGGTCCAGGACCCGTCGCAATACGACGTTCTCGTCATGCCGAATCTCTACGGCGACATCTTGTCGGACTTGTGCGCTGGGCTCGTGGGCGGGCTCGGGCTCACTCCCAGTGGCAACATCGGCATTCAGGGCGCCATCTTCGAGTCGGTGAGAAGCTAATGCAATCTTTTTTTTAATCCTCCCCCCCCCCCAAATTTCCCCGTGTGGTATTTTTTCTTTTAATGTTATTCTGGGAGGTGTGCCTTTTTTTTTTTTTGTGAATGAGGAGAGTTGGAAGGAATTAGGAATGACCTCACGTAGGCTACAAAAGGGGAAATTTATGTTGGGATCGCGTCATGAGCGTTCGTCTCGCAGATCTCTTGGGCATGTGTTTACAGTGGGACCCCGACATGAGGAAAATTCTACTCAATGACATTTTGAACTCTGCTGCGACTTCCGGACGATGTCTCGAGTTACGGACCCTTTTCCAACATTGCTAAAAATTATTAAAATTGTTTCTTTTCTTTTTTAAATAAAATTTGATACAGTATCTTGAACCAGTTGAACAATTCATGTTCACCAAAATTGGAAATGTTACAAAATAAATCGCATGCAAAATTAAAAACGGGCTAATTTTGTGCTTTTTTCAGCTTTTCTTTGTGTTTGCACAGCATAACTAGATTTGTTCTTGTTCTTTGCTTCTTAGAGCTCCTTTTGATGCCAGAAGGTCAGATTTTGTATGGTATTCTTCTGCACAGTTATTTCATGTACATTCAAGTCAAGGAAAAGATTTCGCTCAGTTTTTGGGGGACTTCATTCCTAATTTTTGATGAACAGAAGAGCATATTAAATATGTTCCCATTGAGTCTATTCGAAAACGTGATCTATGGTGGTATGGACACACACATCGACGAGACATGGTTCAATCTCCAATTGTGTCCGCATCTCGGGGCCCTTCTGTGAATATTTTTTCAAAATTGATGTCAAGATACATTTTTCAATTTTAGTATTGAACTCTTTTCATATGTGCGTCATCAGTGTCTCAGCTATTGACGATTTTCACGCTGTTACTTCGGAAGCATGCTGCATTTTTTTTTTTTGGATCGAGTGACCATCTCACAAATTGAACATGCTTCGGTTCAATGTTCTATTTTTCTGTTTAGTGAACTTGACATTTTCAACAATAATAGAACTCAAATTGAAAATCGCGTTGCCGGGATTTGAAGCCATTACGCCTGAAGGGAAATGATACTCATGAGGTTTATTTTTTAGTTATTATTATTGAAGAACAGAACTGTGAATTTGTCACGGGCTCAGAAGCTGCTTCAAAGAAATAAAATAAAAAAGGAATTAAATTTTTAGTGTCTGCAACGAATACGCAATAATTTGTTCATCCGTAATTCAAGATTTTCTATCGAGATAAAATACGAAATTGCGGCCTTTTTCGTGGGAAAAACGGATCATTCGCGAGACATACGGTAAGAGGCTACGCCAAATAATTTTGCGTTAAAAAAAAGGCTCCGCCAAAGAAATTTAACATGAGATGAACTTCTCGGTGGAAAAAGTTTGAGAAACTCAGCAGCACAAGATTTTAAACCATGTAGTTCACGAACTTTTTCCTCAACCCCATTAAAAATAACGCACGTTAAAATAAGGACCTAGAATATTTTACGCCAGTTTTGCGATGAGCGGAAATAGTAAATTTCGTCTGGAGATGACAGGTGGGGCTTCCAACCATAAGCGGAAGGGGTCTCAGTCGGATGAACTCAATTTCCGCATCCGGCGACCGGAGCTTGCGCCAGCTCAAGGGTGGACTCGGAAGAGCGATGAATGGTCAACATGCAGAGCATGTCCGCAATATAACGCACTTCCGCATTTGCATAGCATTTATTATTATTTTAATGCAACTGATTTTTGCCGACTTATCAAATAAAGTAAAAGATACAGAAAGATTGTCAGTTAGAACCATAGTCGTAGACTGCAATAACACAGCTAACCATTTTGGGCAGCTTTTCTTAATGCCTCACTGCCCATTTGAAAAAATAAAATTGATTTGTGAAGGAGGAGATTTCAAGATTTCTTGAAAGAAGAGCAGCTCAACACTCATCAGAAGGTGAAATTCTGGAAACATTTTTTGATGCATCCTTATCGAATTTCTTCAGGAGATGTTTATTCCACCATCCCGTTTGGCGCAATGGACGCAGCATTTTATTTTCAGACCCAGCATTCAAGTTTCTTGCCAAGGACCGAGATGACATGAGACACTTTTGCTTGCTAGAGCATTGAAGCCCACGCATATTTTATTATTACCACGTTTTTATGAACTCACTTTCTTGTCTGTTCGTTTGTCTGGATCAAATTTTGCAACTCAAATTTTGCTCACTTCTTCAAAATTGATGTCAAGATACATTTTTCAATTTTAGTATTGAACTCTTTTCATATGTGCGTCATCAGTGTCTCAGCTATTGACGATTTTCACGCTGTTACTTCGGAAGCATGCTGCATTTTTTTTTTCTGGTATGAGCTGCAAATCAAAATTTCTCAAGCCTTGTGCTTCAACAATGATCATGTGGCAGTTGTCTAATCACACGGGAAGGAATCCGAGAATTGATATTCGCAAGAAATCTCAATGAAAGTCGCGAAAGTCTTGCATGAAGAACTGAAGGCCTGGACAAGTGATTCCCCTTCAAGAAGGTCAATGCAAGGAAACAGCATAACCATTAGCTCTCCTTTTCCTTTCTGCATTTCTTACCTCCGTTACAACACGATTCAAGGGGGAATTCAAATTTGAATATTTATATATACATTCACGGATATGTTGGATTCAGATGGGCAGTACTACTATGGACCTGCAACATGTCCGAAATGCAGCCTAACTGTGTTCCACGCAGAATGGATAGTTTTCAATGGCCAAGCCTATCATCAGTCATGCTTCATATGTTCTGATTGTCGCCGCAACTTGAACAGCAGCAGTTGCAGACGTTTGGAGGACAGGCTTTTATGCAATGCATGCTTTACAAAGGGGTATGGTTTGAAGGGATATGGTTATGGTGGCGCAGTTATTTGTAACCCGAAAAAGACGCGGACACCATGCGACCAACCCCTCACTGCTCAGGCACACTGCTATCCACAATTGCAAGGGGGCTCGCTCAGCGACAATGCAAGTGGGATCAGTCTGGATTTCACACAAGGCCAAAGTGAATCATCCGTGTCACTGGAATTGCTGGGTAATGGCAACAATTTTGATGCTTCGTTGGGGTACCAGCATGAGAATGCACGAAGGGGGCATTCTGGAGGTTCGATGCAGATGAGCACCAATAGGAATATGTATGGGAATGCGATGGCCGGTGGGTTGATGGGCGGGCAACAAAGTTCCAGAGGTGGGTCCATGAAGCAGAATAGGATTCATTCCAATGGTCACTTGGGTTCACCGCCATTGTCGTCAATGCGACCAACGAACGCGGGACAAAATCAGCCGTTTTTGAGATCAACAGCAGCACCTTTGCAGCCGTATCATTTTGGGGACCAAGCAACTGGGAGTGCATTTGATTATAATCCGTACCGATAATCTTCGTTAAATCTTGATTTACCTGAGATTCTTTCACTTGCTCAATACACTCTTGTCCATAATAGCTGCTTCAAATTTATCTGAATTGATGTGACAGGTTTATCTCTGTTAATGGGATAGTTCGTAATAGCTATCTTGCGGAAAATAATCAGTTATGAATCAATGATGGCGACTTTGAGATTAGAGTTCGAAACACGAATGCGCGTTGGAGTGTATTTTTGAAGACAAGGCTTGAAACTGCCCGTGGTACTGTTCTTGTGATTTTTGCCTTCATTTTCAAAATAGAAAATTCTTCCTAAAAAAATAAATTTTTACGAGATGAATATTGGCTTCATTCCCTGTACAGTATTTCAATTACATTTTCAATAACAATCAATTCTAATGATAAATTGTTCCAGCTCTTGCTCTATTTTTTACTGGAAGGCTGATTTTCGGGTGGAAGCAAACCGAATCAATTTATGTCTTACTTACAAACATAAATTAATTTATGTTTTTAAATTGATATTTTATGTGCAGAACAGACATATGTGTGACTTAGAATTTGAGCTAATTCTGTATTTTTGCCTTGAAATAATCTAGTCCATTGATTCGCAATTTGTGCTCAATTACCGAAGTCCCCATGGGCTGCTCAGACAAGATAATAAAAAATAATTTTTAAATATGAATTGGGAATCATAAGTGAAATGAAATCAACATAAATTACGTAACGAAAAAATAGCAAATTTGAACGCAATCCCTCCTTTTTCTTGGGATTTTTGTACAAGATAAAGTTTAGTTAATCCGTTGAAACAAAAATCCCAAATATGTTGAAACAACTGAAAATCCGTTGAAACAACTGTCGACTCAATACAAAAATCCCAAATATGTTGAAAAAACTGAAAATCCGTTGAAACAACTGTCGACTCAGTGTTTTACACTGAGTCGACAGTTGTTTCAACGGATTAACTAAACTTTATCTTGTACAAAAATCCCAAGAAAAAGGAGGGATTGCGTTCAAATTTGCTATTTTTTCGTTACGTAATTTATGTTGATTTCATTTCACTTTTGATTCCCAACTCATATTTAAAAATTATTTTTTATTATCCTGTCCGAGCAGCCCGTGGGGACTTCGGTAATTGAGCAAAAATTGCGAATCAATGGACTAGAATATTTTGAGTTGTGATGGACAGCAAAGAAACTATACCTTGCGTTTTTTATAATTTTATTTCGACGGCACATTTTGAATTTATTATGGTGCATGTGGGCCAGGATTGAAGGCTCGGATTCGTCGACCAATTTCCGGTTCCGTTGTGTGTATTCGCCAAATGACTCGACGTTCACGAGCTTGATGATTGCGTCAGTGCGATTTGCACGTCATCTTGCAGTATTCATCAAGAGTCGGCTTTTCCCTTGTCGCATTTATTGCCCGATTCCGCTTCCGCACGTGCGGTGAATTACGCCTACAGTAATAAGCTATCTCGCGAGCGAGTCGGGGGTTGAATAATTCCCGTCACGACTGTAGAAAGAGATTCAAATCCGGGGTTTTGCGTCACTGCTCATGTCATTTTTACATGTTGGTTGACTTGTTTTTTTTTGTGTGCATAATTACGCCCGTTTTCAGATTTCGAGCAGATATTTCCTGCGGGAAATACTTCTGGTAATTTTATAGGCCGCAGAAACGGGGACGTGCCTAGGGAAGGTCGGCTCATGTGCGAACTGAACATGCGAATTTCCCCCCGTTTGAACTGTAAAAATAGAATATCTATCTCATCTATCTTCGATGTAAAACTCGCAGAACTGCTGATTTTCTTCACGGGACTCAAGCAGCTATTTTCTGTGGGAAATACCTCTAAAGGTAATTGTACATGCCGCTAAAACGGGTAAAAGTCTGGGAAGGTTGGTCTATGCGCAAACTAGATTTGAATAAAGATTTAAATTTAAATTAAATATTGCTAATTTCTTCCGATTTATAAATATTATATCATACAGTATATATATTCTCACCTATCTTGGGTGTAAAACTCGCAGAACTGCTATTTTTTCGTTGGTATTAAAGGTGTCCCGTTATTTCGCGCATGGGTCGCAAAATTAGTAGATATAAATCGTGGTACATTAGGAACAACCTTAAAAGCAATAAAAATTGCGATCATCAGGTAACTAAGTTTCCAAGCCTTGTGCTATGTTATAGTCGCTCTAATTGCACAGGTTAATAATGCAGTGCGATTTTCAATTTTCAAGATGTAGGACTTCCTCGATAGCTGGGGATGAAATCATGAGCAATCATTATGTAATTTCGCTTTAACGAAACTGCTTGTAACAGGATGAAACGTATGACGATATCAATGCGTATTGTTTTGTACCTGTATAGGGCTGGGCTGGAAAACATTCTATAAATGCCGTTGTTCACTTGTTTTTTTTAAAGCTTTTTCTCCCTGTTCTACCCTTGATTTTTTGGATGTGAGTGAATCTCTGTTTGATGATTGATTCGCTTGATTGCAGGTCCACGGCACAGCACCTGATATTGCAGGCCAGGACAAGGCGAACCCGACAGCCCTTTTGCTCTCTGCCATCATGATGCTGAAGTACATGAAGTTGAATCCGCACGCTGAAAAAATCGAGACTGCATGTTTGGAGACTTTGCGAGAAAAGAAGTTCCTCACTGCGGATTTGGGCGGTTCTGCGCGTTGCTCCGAGTACACCAACGCCATTATTGAACGAATGAAGTGAAAACCTCTGTTGAACGTTGAGGCCACCGGTTTTTTGCGGAACCCCTTGTGAGGATATCGCGCACTTCGTAGAAGAAAATGACCCAGGAAATTTTTATTTGTTTGAATTTTTTTGTTTTTTTTCCATGGTTCAAATTCGCATCGTACTCGGTTTCGAGCATCTTTTAAAAACCGTTACCAAGTGACGCTGCTCGGTGGAGAAATGGAATGATGTTCTTCCCGTATTTCCGGATGCGACCGGCTTCCAGTCGCGGGCTAAGCGTTGATTTCTTTGTTATCTTCGTATTTTCAACGATGTTCACTTGAACCTTTCTCCTCTATCATGTCTTGATCTGGTCACGGAAACCGGAAATCCTTTAACTGGAAGTAGTCGACAGGGAGTGGACATCGTTGAAGATGCGGAAAGTGGAATGATACTTGTTGCTTGATAATATTGACGGGCGGAATCTCAACGTTCGTTTGTTTTCGCGAATGTTTCGCGATGGAAGAGTGTGGAAATCAAGGAGTTAGTTATGAGATTGAGCGCAAAACTGTCTTCGTAATTTTTGAATACGCTTGCGTTTCATAAATCAGTGAAACTTGCGGGGGTCGGGGGTACATTCTTGACTAGTGACAAAAATGAGCTCTAGTAGTCTAGAGGAACTTCCTCTGACGTATAGAGGCTACCCATAGAAAGCCATAGTTGATATTACAGTACTGTATATCGCTGAAATTTGTGTTACAGGATTTAATCCTTTCCTGATTTAGAACCCATGAGATAATCTGTTAATTCAGAAGTTTTTGAACATAGGTTAACGTACGCTTCCCTTTTTTTAGTCTTGTTTTTATGGCGGATCCCCTCGGGTCAATTACATCTCCATCATTTTTTTGGTCTCCTCGATTCTTTGAAACACTGGCCCGAAAGGTTTTTTTTGATGGAGCTAACTTCTTGAGCCCATAAATATTCATAATCTTGATAGATACAATTTGTTATTAATTTCATAGGACATATATTTTTCTGAAACATCTGCGGACATTTTTGATCACCCGGAGCGTCTGCGTAGAACGTGTTTAAATCAGATCGTATATTGAAAGGAATGATAAAATGTTATGGAAGGAATTTCTTATTAAGTACATTCACCTCATCATTTCTTGTGTGAGACATTTGACGCAATTTTGGTTCAGGAAACATTGATTTTAGGATATGAAGTATTTTCCTTAAAAGGCTTCATATTTTTCATTCGAGTTGCTTCTTTGCTTTCCAAAATGAGTTACTTTACATTGGATTTTTAAAAATGAATTGTGCATAGCAATGGAATTGAGACAATGCTTACTAAATTCAAAAATTGCCTCTGCGTTTGTTGAGAAGCTAAACTTGTGTTAAAAATAAATTTGAAATTCTGATTTTCAGCTTTCGGATGTTCTTGCAATTTTGAAATCATGCATGCGTTTTTTACTACTGAATGTACCGGGATTTGATGTTGATCGAGTTTCGATGATTGGAGCGAAATTTTAATTTCTAATCTCGGGTAAATCGTAAGATACAGTACATTCTCAAGGGAAACATACTATTCGTGATTTGCTGCTTTTTAGTATGATTGTGAAGTCGAAAGGGAGAATAACGAAGAGAAAGAGGAGCTCAAGTGACCATGTTGTGTCCAAGAAGAAGAACTCGTTCTGTAATTCCTAAAATATACGAAGCACTCAACTTGACTTGATGGTTCCATAACTCAGCACCGGATGTTTCTGAGCATTTGCTGAAATGTAAAGCAGTACATTTATGGCGATGTTGCCAGGCATTTTCTGACTTTTGAAATGCTTCCGTAAGAAAGCCCTCGTACGGTATTGAGTCATTCATGAACGACGACAGCGGATTATTCTAGTGTTGCTCGTGCCTTACTATTAAGCACGGAATTACTGTAGGTATGATGGACAATGTGCCTTGGAATATCTTGATTGAGCAAATTTTGAAGCTTTGTTCTGGGATTTTAATTAATACTTTGCACAACGGACTCTTCATACCACGAACAGAAGGTCTTCTGAGCAAGGTGCTCCAATGCTCCATGAGATATTCTCTGATTATAAGGCAAGGTTGGTTGATTTGTTGAATTTGTGTACGCTGTGTTTTGTAGCACAATCCCTTGATTTGATAGCCCCAGCTACATTTTGGAAGAAAAACAAAAAAGTTGAAATCTTTCCACAAATGCAATACATACATTCAATCCAATGAGAGGGATTTGATGTGATGATAAGGAAAATTTTATTGCAGCAAAATAATTGGGAATTAAAAATATCTTTGTTGTAAATATAAATCAAACAACATTTTGGTCATTTTTAGTTAAAGACCTGAGAAACGATTTTGTTTCAACGAAATTCTATTGAGCTGAATATTGTGGAAAATGTCTCACTCGTAACCACTTTGGTGCATGGTGAAAAAGAAAGTAAAATTATTCAAAAACAAAGTCTGCCACAAAATTGATATTGATGTAATGCACATTGATGTCACGCAACCTAAGTCCATTTAAAAAGTTCAATTACATATTTTACCTCTGCCAGATTATCTTTTATGATACTGCATTGAAATTCAAATTTTACCTTCAAATCTACTGAGCTAATGAAAAATACAATTCTTACGCCGCATTATTACCGAAGTTCTTGCCGATTTCAATGAGCAATATATAATCCGAATTTTCAGTATGAAAAAAAAACTTGAATGCAGTCGAAGTGGCGCACATTAAATCTATACTGCATGTATCATTTCAATTTATTGAAATTATATCAAGGCGAAAAGCTATGCGTCTTTTTGTATGTGAAAAAATACAGTGCGGAAAAATCGATTCTTATTGTATGATGCTTATTGGAAAATCGAGGCAAAAAATGTACCCCTTTTATCAGCAACTCAAAATTTGAAGTCAGTCATCTATACTACGTAACTGAAATGAACTCTTCATTGGCGCTCGACTTTTCAAGAAAAAAAAAATTACAGTACTGTACTCATATTAAAATCGCAACCTCAACTCGTGTATCCTACTCGTCGCTTATCAAGATGAACTCACTGTCTTGAATCATATCCGGTTCTTTCCACGACTTCCTGAAAACTTGTTTGATTGTTCTGCGGTATATACAACATTTGCGTGGATCAAGTTCATTCACCTGGAAATAACCCGTGTTCAGCAGGGAATATAAAAGCACTTTCTTCAAGTGCATCCGAACGCAGGATAGCGTCGCCGGAAATTGCGTGGCAAAGCCTGTACCGCGAGTTAGTGCCTTGTGTGTAGATCGTTATCTCTTCTGGAAAAGAGTGTTTGCCTTGTTCAGCTAGAAAGTTTCAGGATGTAGCTGGGGGTCGGGTCCTGCGTCAAGAGTGTCTTCCATTGTTTGCGAAGGGATTGTTCTCGTCTCCCAGCACCCTTTTGTTTCATTTTTATTTTTATTTTCCCCGGATGGGGTATAGCTGGAAACCCCCGTGTTTCCCTGGGGCGAAGTTCGGGTTCTGTCCCTGTGGACCTGTGACAACACGTGGCAATTTGCAGAGGCTGGATGCATAGACAGGGGTCAGAACTTTTGACGCATCCGGTGAGTTGTCAGGTGATCGACTTATTCTGAGCATGAGGTTCTCATAATGTCCTGATGGATGAGCAGACATTTGTTCTCATATTTTGCGAGGTGGAAGATACGATTTATGTTTTCGATACAGCTGCAGAATTTTTTTTTACATGTTAACGTCATATAAATATGTGTAAGAAAATTTTCCTAGGTTCCCATGTACTTTTTATTGCCACAAGTGATTTGAATCTGAATGCTAAAAATTGCATTATATAACCAAAGCTTTTTCCAGATCCACATGTTTTTGTTCACACAAAATTACTATACAGTATGTTGTAATGTATAAAGAAACTAGACGACGCAGGTATAATGGATTTTTTGGAATCTATATTCGTTGTTTATGCATTTTCTCAAGGAAATTTTACAAAGAGTTTTTACCTTGAGTTTTTGAACCTCGTATATTCCAAGATTTCACGCTGAAAGGCTCCATTTTAAATTGTCTCGTTATCTCTCAATCCTTTTATAAAATTTGATAATATAGGGTTGAATTTCGAGGTACAATTTAATACTGTAATACGGTTGAATTTTTCGAAATGGAACCTTATATTCCTAAGTCAAAAACCTCCCTATAGGTCGAATTTTTCAGTCCTTGCATGGATTCCCTTGAACTTTTGAACGCATGCATTCGTATCGAAATTGAAGTTTTCTGTAATTTATCAGATTATTTTTATTTCTTGCAAGCTGTGTGACGCAGATTATGCTGAGATATTATCGGAAACCTCAACCTCTGTGGGCCCGTGTCTCAAATCTTGTCCACATTTTCTCATAGTATGTTTTCATTGACTTATTATATTTCTGAATTATTTAAAAATCTAGATCATCCTGATTCTCTGAGTTTGGTGGTACCAAGTGAGATTGAATCTAGTCCGTCATGATTTCCATCACATCTCTTGCTGTAAATTTGAAGGGCATGGTGCTTATTTTATTGAATCCGTGATATCTTCTGAAATTGTTTCTTGCATGATACAAGCAGGTTAATTATTATTTTGAGGGTTTTCACTCTAGCATTAAAAAGTATATATGAGTTATTTTCGATATTCGAATAAATTCCGCTTGATCCCTATAGCAAGTATTCTGAAGAAATGTCACTCTTCTGTTTCTGGTGTCTCAGATTATTATTCAAGAATAACTCCATATCAACTTCCGGAAAGAACCCTCACGATATCCTGGAATAGAAATTTCGTGGAACGCGGTCTATAATTGGGATATTGATTTTGTGGAAAGTATAGAGCATTCAATGGCTTGTTGAAGTACACGGAATCAGGAAGCACAAATTCCCTTGAGGTTTATTTCAAGTTTTCCGAGTTGAGAAATGATCAAGAGACTCAGATTCGGCAAGATCTGGTAATAGTTTACTTCCCGCCATTTCCATGCAATGTATATTTTAAGGTTCATCATTATAGGGGCTTGCAGATTTAGGGTACAGTGTCTGAAGATAGAACTAAGGTTGATTCAATGACCATGAACCTCTATTTTTGGAAATATTTTTTAACCTGGATGACTCAAATCTCATCAAGTCAAATACCTTGCTACGTTGATTAGTTTTCAAGTCCCTGTCTGAATTCCCCTAGCAAACATGCATTAAAAACCTCTCCAACTCAAAACCTGTTCTCGTAAAACATCTCCGATTCGATTTTGTGTGTGTGGCTTTTTGCCTATTATTTTCTTGGCACAGGAAGGAGCAAAGCCATTGAAAAAAAATTAACATAATGTATTTTCGAAGGAAGTCAAAGACTAATTTAAAAAATGAGCCCCAGCCTCTAGCAATAAGTTCTGCAGCCTGTGAACTCATTTAAGAAGCACTTTAGGGCTCAAAATATCACAATTTACAATTTTCTGGAATTCTTCCGTTTTTCCCACCGCAAAAATTCAACTTAGCATTAAGGTTTGTCTGTAAATCATCATTGCATATATCGAGGAGAACCCAAACTGCAAAGCTGATTTC